AAAAAAGGAAGGACCAAAATAAGTAAAATCAGAAATGAAAGAGGAAAAATGACAATGTACACCAAAGAAATACAAAGGACTGTAGAAAAATATGAACAACTATAAGCCAACAACCTGAACTACCAGAATAAAATAGATAAATTTGTAGAAACATACAATTTTGCGTCTATAACAGATGGCCCATAGACATATGAAAAGATGCTCTATGTCACTAATCACCAGGGAAATGCAAATTAAAACAACAATAAGATATGACCTCATACCTGTCATAATGGCTATCATCAATAAGTCAGCAAACAACAAGTACAGGCAAGGATGTGGAGAAAATGAAACCCTTTTGCACTGTTGGTGGGAATGCAGACTGGTACAGCTACTATGGAAAACAGTGTGAAGATACCTCAAAAAATCAAAAATGGATCTGCCTTTTTATCCAGTGATCCCACTTCTGTGAATACACTCAAAGGAACACAAAGCACTAATTTGAAAGAACACAAGCACCCCTATGTTCTTTGCAGCATTATTTATAATCACTGAGATAGGAAGCAGCCCATATCCATCAGTAGTTGAGTGGATAAAACAACTATTAGACAATAGAATACTACGAGGCCATAACAAGAAGAAAATTTTACCCTTTGCAACAGTGTGGATAAACCTGGAGAATATTATGCCAGGTGAAATAAGCCAGTCAGAGAAGGATTAATACTGTATGATTTCACTCATATGTAGAATCTAATGAAAAAACCAAACTAACAAGAAAAACAGAGACAGAGGCATAGATGAAGAGACCATGACAGCTAGTGGTGGAGGGGGGTTAGGGAGTAGAGGGATTGAGCAAAAAGAAAAAAGTACTCATGGACATGGACAACAGTGTAGTGATTGCTGGGGGGAGGTAGGTATAAGGGGACTAAATGATAATAGAAATAATACAATTAAAATTAAATCCAAAAAAGATAAATAGCGATGTAACTATATTATTTAGAGTTAAGGAATTAACAACTGGAAGAATTAAAAATAGAACAAGATGGTTTTTCTGGGGCATAGAACATTGTATTCCATTATACAATTATACACTCTTCCACAGTGTTCTAACTCAGTGAATATATTATTCTTCTATAGAGTTCTAACTCACTGCTTGTTTCTTAACTCAGTGCATATATTATTACTTTGATTCTTTATTTAAGCTGGGTAATTCTGGGCATGAACAAATAATCCATCCATACCAGCTTATTACCCAGTTAATATCTGACTGTTAACATCTACTTCACCAACCTACTAACAGGTTTTACTTTTTCCATTCTATCTCTCCCTTACTTATTCTCCACACTTTTGCCAGAATGATTATTCCAAAGTGCAATTAAATTATTTTACCTAATCTCTGACATCTATAGGTTCTAAAAATTGTGGTATAAACTCAGTTATGTGCTGCTAAATGTTTATTCACTGGTTCTCAAAAAGAAAGCGCCAATCTGTAGTGGGATTTTTTGGTATACTTCGTGTAAATACTACCATTGTGACTGGTCTCAAATTACCAACATAAGTTAACATCAATAACATAACTGGGAAGTGATGCACCATAGTATACCCTGGCATTATATGTCCACCACGTAGATATAATAAAAATAAACACCCTCAATAGCATAGACAATAGTTAAATAGAATAAAATCATTAGGAAATGATTAGTTTCAAGTAGACATTATCTTGGTTTTTAATATATGCTGTTTAATTACATGTTTTACATAGTTAGTTTTATTTATTAGATTATCTAAAATTAGTATTTTTAAAAACCAACTAGGTCATGGAATTCTAGCATACTACTATAAATATTCTTTGCAAGGTCTACAAAGCCTTTCATAATCACACCAAAAGCTTAGCTTTCTAGCCAATTCCATTTGGCATTCAGATCATGAAAAATGATTAATGGTTCCCTAAGGATGCTGTTCTATTTCCTTTTTATGTGCATTTATTCTAAATTTCCTCTGCCTCGAGGGACACTCTTTTTATTATGATAATGGAAAACTCCTAATAGTCATACAAGATTCAGAGAAGAGGTGATGGCAGGAAAAAGGTTGTATTAAGTACCTCCAGAAATTTCCTCCTCAATAAAAACAATGAGAAAACTAACAACATTACAAGAATCATCTCTTTCAAAGTTCTGCAAATTAACAAAAGCCTAGTAACAACATAAGGACCATTTATTCAAGAAAAGTGGTTGAATGCAAGTAAGAACAGTGAGCTTGATGGTGTTTTAACTTGCCCTAGTTGAATACCCAGTTTTCTGACTCCACTGGAGCTTTGAAAAATAACAGCCTGCATTCACAGTCAAAACCAAAAATCTCAGCAACTGGAGGGACAGACAGTTTTTGACCTTCCTCAAAGTTACACTCCCACATAAATGTTATTCTTTAATGTGTCCACTGTCTCCCTGAAAGATCTCATTGCAAGGCTGTCTGTATTTGATCTCATTTGAACATTACCTACTAAGAAAAGCCTTCTCCCTAGAGTTGAAAAGAAAACATTAAAGGCAATTATTTAAATTCAAGTATGTCTGAGAAGATGGAATAGTTGAAGTGAACAATAAACCAAAAATTTAAAAGTAAGGAATGAGATGTTTATGAAGTCTGCAAAACTAGAAGGCCAAGTGCATGCTTAGGGCTAAGCATATGGCAGGTCTATGTGCATGTTCTGGAAAAATCTAAGAAAGCCCTATGTTCTCACCTTTGTATAGGATACCATTCTGCATGGCATGGGGCCAGCTCCCACTCGGAGATGCACAAGACCCACACCCACAGATAGGTTCTCCTGTAGGGAATCAGGCCTACATTGTACCTAAAATGCTATGAGACTGGCTTTTGCTAAAACTCCCTCACTCTGAATTGAGGCAGAAAGTGCTTACTATAACTTCCTAAAATCTATGCTAAACCTTCCAAGGACAAGTGTAACCAGTTCAACCATTTTTCCCTTTGCATTTGCAAAAATTCTGTGATTAGTGGCATCCTCTCCCTTGTTTTCTGTAAAACATAACCACCTAAAGTGAACCTGTGCATAGTAAATGAGGACCGTCATGTAATGTGCCCAGAAACCCAATAAAGGCTTATCAAGGCAAGGGCCAAGGCTTTTTCTCCTCTTGAGAGAGAAGTCATGCCATCCCTATTCCTCTACAGCACTCGGTAGTCTGTGTGTATTTGTTGTGCCTCATTCATAATGCTGCAGACCCCACAAGCCAGGGTACAAGTCACCTTTGCCTGACCTTGTGGCTGTCCTAAGAGGAAATAAAAGATAAGGCAAAGTGGTCAACATCCTGGCTCAGTGTCACAGTTGTGCCTCAACATACACACAGTTCCTCAGCAAAGAACAGAAAAATGTATTGCTTCCAACCATTTAAGAAAACTTCTGTCTAATGATTACTTGATAGCTAATCTGAGTAGAAACTTTAATATCCACACATGACTTAGAACAGAGATGTTATGGCATCAGGCAGAAAAGTCATTAACAAAAAAAAATGAACAAGAATAATAAACAGAAATAAAAACAAACCCTAAGGTAAAAGGACAGTTTGATTTCCGGAGTTGCTACATAATTTTATTTATTTATTTATTTATTTATTTATTTATTTATTTATTTATTTATTGTTGTTCAGGTATAAGTACAGTTGTCTGCCTTTTCTATATTATGTTATTTAAAATATCTGGGTTTTGAAAAAATATTATAAGACAAAGAAAAAAGAAAGTGTTGCCCATGCAGAAATAAAAAGAAATCAATGAAAACTTTCCCTGAAGAGCAGACATTGGACTTATTAGAAAAAAATACTTTAATCAGCTATTCTAAAAACATTCAAAGCATAAAAGAAAGTCATTTTTAATGACAAAGGAAAATATGAAAATCATGTTTCACCAAATATAAAATACCAAAAGAAGATAAAAATTATTTTTAAAATACTAAATAGTAATTCTGGAGTTTATAATGATAATAACTAAAATAAAAAAGTTTATTAGAAAGTTCAAAAGCAGATTGGACAACACACAAAAAAAGGGCTAGTATCTGTGATATAGGTTTATTAAAATTATTCAATCTAAAGAACAGAAAGAAAAAAATAAAAAAAGCAAGACAAAAAGACCATCATCAATCACACTAAAATATGCATAGCAAGAGTCCCCAAATGGGAGTAGAGTGAAAAAGTGGTAAAAAAAAAATCAAAGAAATAATTGCCCAAAACTTCCGAAAGCAGATAGGAAAAATAGGCAGAAGACCAACCCCCCCCAAAAGACTCAGACAATGGACAAAAATATAAACTAACTAGACCTGACAAAAATCTATACAACCTTCCACCCAGCAATAGCAAAACAAATATTTTTCTCAGGTGTACATTAAATTTATTTCAGACAAGCAATATTTTAGGCTATAAAGCAAATCTCAATAAATCATATACAATGTATGTTCTCTGACCAGAAGAAATTCAATTAGAAATCAATAAGAGAATGAAATTTGGAAAATGTGCATAAATTAAACAACATACTCCCAAATAACTAATGGGTCAAATAATAAATCATGGGTGAATTTAGGGAACACTTGAGATAAATGACAATTTAAATGCAAATAATAAAAAGTAGCCCTGGCTGGTATGGCTCAGTGGATTGAGCGCGGGCCTGCGAACCATGCGATCGCGGTTCGATTCCCAGTCAGGGCACATGCCTAGGTTGCAGGCCAGTTCCCAGTGGGGGACACATGAGAGGCAACCACACACTGATGTTTCTCTCCCTCTCTTTCTCCTTCCCTTCCCCTCTCTCTGAAAATAAATAAATTAATTTTTAAAAAAAGTAATAGCATGTAGTTAGAGCAGTACTTGAAGATAAATTTTTAATTTTGAACATCTATATTTTAATAAACTTAAATAGGTGAGAATATGGAGAAAAATGAACTCTTGTGCACTGCAGGTGGGAATGCAAATCAGTACAGCCACTGTGGAAAACAATATGGATGTTCCTCAAAAAGTTAAAAATAAGTGCTCGCTTCGGCAGCACATATACTAAAATTGGAACGATACAGAGAAGATTAGAATGGCCCCTGTGCAAGGATGACATGCAAATTCATGAAGCATTCATATTTTTAAAAAAACCAAAGACACTGAAATAGAGAACAAGGGGACAGTGACCAGACGGGAGAAGGAAAGGAAGTTAAGGGGAAAAAGGGGGAGGGATTTGGAGGAACAAATAGGAAGGACACAGGGACGAGAACTAAGGGGGGTGGAAATGGGAGGGAGGTGAGGAGCAAGGGGCGGGGGAGGCTGGGATGGGAGAAATAGACAAAAAAACTGTACTTGAAAAATAACTAAATAAAATTAATTAAAAAAAAAGAATGTTAGCTCTGAAGAAAAAAAAAGTTAAAAATAAAACTATCATATGGTCCAGCAATTCCACTTCTGGATATTTACCCAAAGGAAACAAAAACACTAACTCAAAAATATATTTGCATCCTTATATTTACTACAGCATTATTTACAGTACCCAAGATATGAAAATGACCTAAGGGTCCATTGATGGATGAACAAATTTTTAAAATATGTGTATAGTTATTCACTAGAATATTATTCAGCTATAAAAACTGAAAAAAAATCCTGCCACTTATGACAACATGGATGGACCTTGAGGATATTATGCTAAGAGAAATAGTTAGACAGAGAAAGACAAATACCATATAACCTCACTTATTATATATGGAATCTAAAAACAAAACAAAAAATACACTCATAGATATAGAAATCAGATTGGTGGTTGCTAAGGTGAAGGATGGTATGTGGGTGGATGTGGGTGGATGGGTGGATCAAATCCTCAGATCATTTACCTAACATATCACATTAAGAACCTATAAAAGAAGAGTAAGGGAAATCAAATCAAGCCCAAGGGAGAAAATAATTAAGATTAAAGTAAAAATAAATGAAATATAGATTAGAAAAATAACAGAAATGAACAAACAAAACCACAAGTTGGCTCTTTCAAGGAATCAACAAAATCAATAAAGTCTTAGCTAGACTGACCCAAAGAAAGAAGATTCAAATTTCTGAAATCAAGAATAAGAAAGGGTAATTGAAAACACATATGTTCATACAAAACCTTAAACACAAGCATTCACAGCAGCAGTATTCATAATAATCAAACTATGAAAACAACCCAAATTTCCATCAACTGCAGAATGAATAAAGTATGGTATATCCACATAATGGATTATTCAGCTGTAAAAGGAAATTTGATACATGTTACATGAATGAAATTTGAAAAGGTTATGCTAAAGTCAAAGAAGCCAGACACAAAAGGTCACATATTGTATGATCATAATTATATGAAGTATCAGAACAGGCAAAGCCATAGACTCAGAAAGTAGATTAGTGGTTGTGAAATGCTGAGGGGAGAATGAACAGTGAATGCTAATATGTGTAGGATTGATTTGGGATGCTAAAAACATTCTGAAATTACACTATCATGTTGATTGTACATCTCTGAGAATATTCTAAACATCACTGAATTGTACAACTTAATAGGGTGAACGGTATGCTTTGTGAAAAATAATGAATTAACTGTAAATAGATAAATGAAGATTTATTGTGACAGCATGGATGCACCTAGAGGGTAGTATCCTCAGTCAAATAAATCAACCAGAGAAAAACAAATACCACGTGATTTCACTTATATGTGGAATCTAAACAAAGTAACAAACAAAAAACAGAAACAGAGTCATAGATACGGAGAACAGACTGATAGTTGCCAGGGAAGGAGGGTAATTTGGCAGACTGGGTGAAAACAGTGAAGAGATTGAGAAGTACAGATTGGTATTCACAAAATAGTCATGGGGATGTAAAGTACAGCATAGGAAATGTAGTTAATAACATTATATTAACTATGTATTATGCCAGGTAGGTACTGGAAATATCAGGGGGAACACTTTATAAAGTGTATGATGTATAACCATTATGCTATACACCTGAAACTAGTACAAAATAACATTGAATGTAAACTATAATTGAAAAATGTTTTTTACAAAATAAAATTTTAAAGTGATTCAGCCAAAATACCATCTATGAGTCAATGTAAATAAGTCTCCACAATGAGTTCTCCTACCTCTGTGTTACCATGACATTTACTGTATTCTATTTATCTCTCCATCATGGCACACATTTCCCATATTGCAACTGCCTGTTTGCCTTGTCTTTTTCCCCTACTGTCTCTGTCCAGGGCAGGAACTGAGTTTTAGTCATCTTTGTATCCAGAGAACCTGCATAGTATCTCACACACATCAGATTTTCAAAATATATTTGTAAAATAGATAGGTAACTTTTATGACACAAGTTTATTAGGTTCACCATTCTGGGAATATCATTAAAGATCAGCCACATAATTAGAAGCAAAATATACCTATCTTAAGTCCCCTAAATAGTAACTATTCTTACATAGAATTAAATATTATTGTTATGATTATTATTAACATTGTTTTACATGGTTAAATGTGTTTATTTGGGACTTCTGCAGGTTTTACTTCCCACTTTAACTGATGACTTCTTTACATATTCAGTTTTGTCATAATTTAAAAGAGGACTTGGGAGAACTTCCACTTTTTCTATAGCAGACAGGAATTAATAATGAAGGAAAAAATTTAGTCTGGTCTCATCTTGGATCTTACATGCAGGAGTAACTGGAGCAGTCAAAGGCATGAACTTCCACAGGACCCCCATTACCACACCTACCCATCCGCCTGCATATGTTTCAAATACCACTCTGCTTCCATCCTGGTTACTCTGAATGAACCATTCTTCCTCCTAGTTAAGGCCACTTTAGCCACAAAAGCATTAGATACCATCATCTCTTCCCAGATGAAGGATAAACTATTCTAGCAATTATCCCCTTTATTTCCAGATTCATCAGGTTTTCCCTCTCCATTAAATTATATTCACATCAGCATACAAACACATTCTTTCCTGACTTATCTCCAATCAACAAACACAAAAAATAAGAAATGCTTTCTTGCATAAGGAATATATTTAACAGTATAATAATAACAATGTAAGGTGCCAGGCGGACACTTGAATTAGCAGAGGAAAGATTTTGTAAGCTACATGAATGTCTAGTTTCTGTGCTGTACACCTGAAACTAATACAAGATAATGTTGAATGCCAAAAAAATTACTTTCTTGATCTTACATACTTTTCATTCTCTCCCTGCTCTTCAATAAACTCACACCAAGCACAGTTGCACCCTTGTTAGTCCATCTAAACTGTTTCTATCAATGTCACTAACAATGTTCACATTGCTAAATCCAATATCAACTCTCAGCCCTCAAATTATCCAACCTCTTTATAGCTTTTGACACAATTGCTTATTCCCTTCTCCTTGAAAAACTTTCTTCACTTAGGTTGTGGGGCACAGCAATCTTCTTCTTTCCTGCTACTTTTCATGTTCCTCTGAGTTTTCTCTACTGGTTCCTCTTCTTTTCTCTGACTTATAGATCCCTAGGGCTCAAAACTTAAATCTCTTCTTTATCAATATTTAATCTCTAGGTGATCTTGTTCACGCACATGTCTTTAGATACCATTTCTATGCCAGTGATTCCCATATTTGTGTCTCAAGCACAGACCTTTCCTCTGAAATCAACACTTGCACGCCTTACACAACTTAACATACACCCTAAACTGAGATTGTGATCTTCCCCCTTCTCTGCCCAAACCTCCTGTATTCAGTCATTTCCATCTCATTAGATGCCAACACCTTTCCAGTTGCTCAGGCCATAAAACTTAGAGGCATTTTTGCATTCTCTCTTCCTCTCACTCCTCACATCTAGTCAGACAGGAAATACTGTTGGCTCTGCCTTCGAAATAAATCTGCAGTTCATCCACTTATTACTATTCCTTCTGACAATATGTTTATTGGAACCATCATCATCTCTTATCTAGAGCATTGCAGTGGCTGCCTGTCTGGACTCCTGGTTCCAGCCATTTCCCTCCTGCAGTCTAATCTCAATAAGGAAGCCACAGTGATCCTTACAAATCTGGTCAGATCAAGTCATTCTTTTTCTCAAAATACTCATCCTCAGAATTAAGCTGAAAGGCTCTTTATGATCTGCCCACCACCAGCCCTCCCTCTTCACCGGAGTTACCTCTGTGAACTCATCTCCCAGTACTCTGCTCAATCACTCTACTGCAGTTTCACTGGCAAACTAAATTTCTTTGATCACTTTATGCACATTCTCACTTCAATGTCTTTGAAGTTGTTTTTTTCCCTTTTCTGAACTTTTCTTTCTTTAGTTATCTGAATGTTTCTCTCTCCCAAGTCCACTTATTCATCTCTTTTCTGGATCCATGCTTTAGGCCAAGGGTGTCAAACTCATGTTCACCGGGCCACATCAGCCTCATGGTTGCCTTCAAAGGGCCAAAATAATTTTAGGACTGTATAAATGTAACTACTCCTTAACTGTTAAGGAGTTGAAATTACATTCAGCCCTTTGAAGGCAACCATGACGCTGATGTGGTCCCTGATGAACATGAACTTAATACCCCTTCTTTAGGCTATAGCATAGATTTATTAATATAGGTTTGTGGACTATTTTTAATAATAAAATATTTTAAATGGATGGCAAGATCATCAGCAATTTAGCAGTCATGGTGAATACCACTTGTCTCAAGCATTTTCCTGTTAAAATTTCCCATTAGGCTTACTGGTGCCATCATCCTCCAAATATGGTTGTCATCTTTAAAACCCCCTAGTTAAATTTTAAAAGACACATGGACAAAGCCAAAGGTGGGTAGGATTGAGGGTGGGAGGTAGGGATGGGTGGGGCAAGGGGAGTGGTGGGGGGAAATGGAAAGAGACAAGTGTACTGGAACAACAATAAAAAAAGAAGAAAAGAAAATCCCCTAGTTAACAAGTCAATTCTCTCCTCTGTTTCACTGTACATCTACGTACTAAAATTATGACGATCCCCCATGTCCCAGTTGAAATATTTTCTCTTCTGTGAAGAATTGCCAAAACTTCTGACTAAAGATTGGCTTACTTCCTTTGTACTCTTATATTGCATGGTTGCTCTCATAACATTTCACAAATGAAATATACAAAGGAAATTGTGGT